TGATGAGCGTCAATTAATTGTGCGCATGGGTAAGTGAAACTGATGTAGTTTTTTTTCGATCATTTTAATTTTGCAAAGAAAGCAAGTTAGTAAGTTATACATTTTTTGATCAGGTTACGAACTACTTCCTCGAACGTTTAAATCAATGCTTCAAGATTTGTGGGCGAAAAACGAGGAAGGATACGATTACATCAGCCTCATCGATAAAGAAATATAGATGAACACATATGATGGTGGATATCGATATGGACACATGACGACTAACTTGGCTGAGGCAATCAATTCAACCTTAAAAGGGTGTACGTCATTTACTTGTAGCGGCTTTGGTAAAAACTATATATTTTCATTTGGGGGCGCTTTTTGCAAAGATGGGGGGACAAGCTCAAACATGGATGCAAGACGGTCATGTCTATCACCCTAGATTAGTTGCAGATCTACAGAAAAAAATGATGCATCAAATGGAATGTCTGTATTTGACTTCTCTAGAAGGCATGAAATGTTTCATGTCACAGAGTTGTTGCGGCCTCTTCAAGGGATTGAAGCTGTGTCATTAAGAGTAAATCTACGGGACAGAACGTGCGACTGTAGGTTTTTTCAAGCTTTGAAGTATCCATACTCTCATGTGATAGCAGCTTGCTCGCATATGCGTCAAGACTATAACCGTTTTGTGAATCCCGTATACCTACTATCTGAAGTTTATAAGGTATACGAATTTGAGTTCCCCCCATAGGTAATGACAAAGACCTTGATGAGGTTCAGGATTGGCTTCCGATTGTACCAAATCTGAGTTTATTGAGGGAGCGTGGTCATCCAAAATCCAATCGAATTCATTGCGATATGGATATTCGAGAAAGATCTAGACAAGACAGAAGATGTGGGCATTGTAGAAACCCAGGACACACTAGAAAAACATGCCCACTTCTATTGTCATCAAGTAACAATTGATGAGGACGTGATGTAGTTGTTTATCAAATAATAATTCTTGTACTTTAATTTGCATTTACTTAAAGTTAATGTCATTCGATAACCGCTGATGAACAGTAAAAAACGATACAAGAAAATGAAATTGAACGTTGGCGTTATATGTGATTATAATAAAAGATATAATAAGTGACAAACTGAAGAAAGTTTGAGAACACAATTATTAAATTTTATCAAACTAATAATAATTTGGTATTTGAACATAATTTTAAATACAACAAACTTAAAAAAAATATTAAATGGTAAATGATAACCAAATAACAATGACTGATTTTAAATGGTAATAAACAAAATTAACCAAAATACATTAACAAAACTATATAACAAATTTAACAAAATAAATTAAAATAAATCCAACAACATTAACAAAAAAAAATAAGTATTAAATGATAAATAATTAAAAAATTACAATAAAAAAGTCCATTAAACAACTAAATACAAATATAATAAAAAAACAAAATTTATCGATGCATGCGACGCGAATGTGTTTCGCAAGACGGTGGCTGTCGGTCTCGAGGAGGATTTCTTCGTATCACCGGTTGTGACTCCTCGTTGTCATCATCATCATCATCGTCGTTGTCTTTGTTGCCGTCGTCGTCCTGAGTAGCTACATTTTGTTGAGGAGGAGCAGATGACGATGAAGCACTTCCATAGAATAAGGACCCTGGAGATGTATGACTGACTATCCCACCAGCCTGCGAAAACTGGGAAAACTCATAAAACCCAGACATCGCCAAGTGTGAAAACTATACAGGAGGTGTCTGAGCTGCGGTCATAGGTGATGAGGCTACACCTGCCAAATATCCAGCATATGAACCCCAAGTAGGATCTGCAAACATAGACCCATAATATCCTCCAAGAGGGGTCATATAACTCTGTGACGGTGGCGGCGGCGGGGTCATAAAATCAGGTGACGGTGGTGGCATCGGGTAAGGGAATGGCGGTGGCGGCATCATATATAGTTGCGGTATGTAAGTCGCTGGAGACGGTGGCTGCTGTGAAAGTCCTGCTGGTGCAGCTGAGGACGAACCGGAAGTACCTGCTCTTCGTCCACGAGTCGGGGGACGATGGTGCTATGTAGGTGAACGTCTCTGTCAACGTCACTGAAAGGTCCGCCCTCGTGCATCCTCGGGAAGAAGAAAAGGTTTTCCCGTTACTGTTGAACCAGTCATAATAACCGTCAGCAACCATCAAGAGGTCATCAAAAATGGGCTCTCTACGGGAAAGGCGCCGATGTCGATCCTCCCACAACACGACCCACTCATGATGTCTCACCAACCAATCTGTATCTGTCTTGCCGCGTCGATCTGTGATATGCAACTAGTCCATATTGTGAGGTGCTTCCGGAATTGGTTGAAAATAACCAAATTGCTGGAGCACACGATCAGTGGAGTGCCACTCGACGATCACATAACAGATCAAAGGGACCAACGTATCCAAACATCTGATGGGCCCCTCAACTCAGGTAGGATCACCATCCTCACATTATCATTAGAATATGACCCCCATTCAAACTAAAACAAATATATATAATTTTTATCAAAATAATAATCTAATTATATAACTATAATCTAAAATCGATTTTTAAACATTAAAATGCATACCTGTGTGCCAGCCTTCTGATCGATTAACACTCTAATTTTTTTCTAAATCATCAGGTAGCTCCTAATGATTTTTCCTATCAGTAGACCACCTATTCAAGGAAAAAAATTATTTTACACTGTATAAAATGATAATATACGAAATCAGTTTTATAATTACCTCAATAGTAGTGAAAATACGAATGGGTTCTTGACAACGGGACATAAAAAGGGCAATCGATACCATGCCCAAGACTGCAGCAGCAGGAGACATCCGCCAATAGCATTTTTTCTATAGTCAGTCGCTCGACACATCTCCCTATATAGGAAAGCCAAAATTGTCAAGCCCCAACTGAGTGATCCGGCCAGATGAAAGTCGCCAAGATGTTGCAACCACATACAGTGAACTTGGTTGCGCGATTTGTCTGGCATCAGCAACCCTCCTATCAGTTGCAGTATGCATGCCCGTGCATACATTTTAACTTCATCATCAGAGACGTCTACGCTCAACTCCCGAAAATTGACATCTAACGAATTTAACGGTATCCGACCACCGTTAAAATTTTCTAGAACACGTCCTAGACTAACCCGATATAAAGTAGTCCAAGAACCGGATATCCCTGATATCACACCTCCATCCATCGGAAGCCCCAGATGCATAGAATCATCCTCAAGTGTAATCGTGCACTCTCCGCACGGAAGATGTAATGTGTGGGTCTCCGGCCTCCACCGCTTCACTAAGGCAGCAATAAGGTCTGGTTCTATCTTACAGTGACCATCATATCTACCTATGTGACCGAATCCAGCCTCTACTAAATACGGCATGACACGGCCATGTATCACTAACTTAAGGTTCCTAATAAAATGATCTAATATACGGTCTCTCTCCTAAAATATAAATAATTACATAAATTAATTTTTAAACTAATAATCATGCGTTAAATAAATAAATTATTACTAATAATTTAAATTAAATTAAAACGTTAAAATGTTACCGTATCAACAAAATGTCGAGATATATGATTTCCATCCAAACGAAGCAGACCACCTTCCATTTTATATCTATAAAAAAAATTAATTAAATACAATATTAAATAATTTAAATACTTAAATAATTTAAATATAAAATATAATAAAATATATCTTAAACAGAAAATATATAAGTATTTGAGAGATGTTGAGAGAATTTGAGAGAAGTTGAGAGGATTTTGTGTGATGAAAGTGATTGAGGATGGGATTATTTATAGGGAGGGATAGCGGTGTGAATGGTCGGGGCAGGTACGTAATTAAAACTCTACGACGCGTCTTTCTGACGCGTGTCAGATTTATAGGTAAGACGCGGCCCCTGCACCGCACTTTACACACGTGTATCCCAGTCAGTATAAGATGCGCTTCAGGGGATGTGTCTTACCCCACGTGATGTCAGATCAACATAAAACGCGCTGTAAGGGCACGTCTTACTGCAAAAGGTGTTAAATCAAAAAAAATAATCTGAAAGATATTTGACAGAAAAAATTAAATAAAAACTGTGATATATCAGAAAAACGCCGTCAAATTAAGTGCCTGCGATGGCGGGTCCACCCAAAACTGGTCATTGTGTTCTCTTACCTAAAATCCTCAACACATATACTTATTTCCTTCGATCACATTCCAACTAAAATAAACTTCATATATTTCAAAGTTCATCACCTGACCTAAACATGTCGCACATTTACCAAGAATTTCCTTTAGATTCCCAGCTCCTCTAACTACTGCCTCCTCGAAATACGGTTACCATATGCAAATAACAAATGGGTAACTGATGGAACACCTCGCATAATTCTCGCACCTTGTAAGCGACCTTCGGGGCTCGATGTTCTTAAGTGATGATAAAACCTCACTCCATATTAAGAAAGGTTTAAATACACAACTGCCCCCTAAACTATACACCAAGTTATTCCGTAGACATTTTACGAGATATTTTCCTTGAGAATTAATTTTTTAACAGAAAAAAATTAATTTAAAAATATAAATAGTTAAATCATATTTTAACTTTTAACAGTTAAAGAGCTCAATAAAATAACTATAATCGAAGAATTATTTTATAACTTTTAACAATCAAATAATTATTTTATAATTTTTAATAATTAGAGAACTCAACAAAACATCTTATAATCGAGTGATCATTTGTATACTTTACCCAATTTTGAACAAAATTGACTTTTACTTATGAAATAAGTATTATAATATATATTTATGACTACAATATTTTATATCATGAATATGAATATTTATAATGTTAAACAATACCTTTTTTTCATAAATAAAAAATATATAAATGCAATAAACTACTTTAAATTGATTGTTATAATATTGGAGTGCCCAACTAGTTGGTCATAGAACAGCACAAAACATAAAAATGATGTTCCACTTGAACTGCATAATAAAAAGCACTCGATAGGATAAAAACGCGCACCTCATCAGAGGTTTATATATCCCCCCAACACTTGTTTTATGAGAAATAACAAAAACTACAAAGCAGCATATTGATGGGAAATGTTCGATTAGATATTCATGCAACAAGTTGAAAACTTCATTCATATACTCAGTTCCCCCAAGATGCCATCTTATCTAGAGCCTCGCTGACTGAAACCATTACCTCTTGATCTGTAGTCGCCGAATTCTTGGTCGTTTCCCTTACCCAAACTACGAGAACCAAACCGACCTCTCAAGGCCTCTGGTGCATAACTGACCCTGCCTCTTCCCCTTCCTGATCATTTTGAATGGCAGAATCATGTTAACAAAGCAATTGCACTTCGATAATGAGAAACTAGACTACGATTTGTAACCCACGAATGCAAATCAATTACAACAAATGCATGTTTAAGAAATACAAGAAGAATAGTTTCTTTTTTCTTTTTGGTTTTTTGGCATAAGAACGTAGAAAAGCAATCCTACCATGTAACAGACGCTATAGAATCATATTCTTCATGTTCATCAAGATTGTCAATTTTTTTATAATGAAGTTGCCAAAATCAGAGAGTTTATATGTAGTTTGTTTACCACCTAACAATCAACCTAGAGGATTATCATAAATTTGCAAAACTTTAGTGAAGCAGCCTGTAAATCTAGGCAAAAGAATTTAGTGAATCAAAAATTTTGTGAAGAGTGCCTTTTCTTTGGATAAGTAAGAAGAATGCTTTTGTGGATGTTACGAAGATACTCAAAAGCAACAACATGAAAAAGCATTTTACTGAAAATATACTACTACAAGAAAATTCTGGAGTGCATAAAAGAGGAGTGTGCAGTAGGGAGCATACTTCCTCCACGTGAACTGCTGCTATTTGGTCTGCGCTCCTCAATGTAAACTTGCCTTCCCCCCAATTGTATAGGAGATGCCTATAGAAGGAACAAAACTTGGTCAGTATTAATATAAAATATCAAGTACAGAAGTCAAAGGTAAAACCATAAAGGCTTCAGGATGGCGACGACTACGAATATACAAATTAGCTACAGAAGTAGATCATGTTATTTCATGGAACCACCTGAAGCAGCTATTCTAGTATATCCATGTATATCTAGGGTCCTTCATACAATAAGAAACTAAAAGTTTTTAACTGTTGAGGGTACTATAAGTCAGTTTTGATTTAAAAGTAAAGCAGATCTGGTTTATTTCCTTCACCCTCCTGTCTCAAAATCCACTTATTTTTTCTTGTATTTACTCAAGAAGCTCTTTCATGGCTGTGCTAGCCATCTCCATCTTATCCGTCATAAGCAACAGCATAAAAGCATCACAAAGGCACATGGATGCAGCTTAAATTTGATCCAACAATATGAACAACCATTAAAAATAAAACTAAAATATAATTACAATGGAACAATGTTAAAAGAGTGTTCAAAGCTCCTTTTACAGTGAACTCAATCTTGTAGACAAAAATAAGCCAAAGTAGTTACAAACATACAATGAATAATTCAAAGAGGAGATCAGCAAGTGAGAAACTATTCAGCTTTTGAAATTCTAAAAGAAATACTGAAAGTAACTAAGCTACTAGCTGCAATTCAACATATTCTCTTGGGAGAAGGCCCAAACAACAACTAAAATTCATACCTTGATTGCATTTGGAACAGCAGAAATGTCTTCAAACTCGACAAAAGCATAGCAGACACCAACAACATCCTGCATGCATCTAACACAAATTTAGTTTGTTTGAAGATATATACAAAAGATATCGAGAAGAGAAGAAAAAGAAATCACCTTGCGGTTCCGGATAAAGACACCATCAGGCTTGATTCTGCCAAAATTCTTGAACTCCTGCTCAATTTCAGTAACAGTAACAGTAGAGGGCAAGTTTCTCACATAGACAGATTTGTATTCACCAATATATTCACCTGAAAGGATGAAGATCTATAATCACATTGCAACGCCTGATCCAAGAACTATAAATATTTCGACCAGTAAATATTGTCTCGACTCTAAGCATAGAAGGTAATTCAGAAATGGAATGATAAAATATCCAGCCTCTAAAACAGTAATTTCTCAACTGTAGAAACAAAATCCTAATGCTCAGAGGGTCAAATAAAATGCCTGGATGTCCATTTAAAATTTTTCCTTTCCCAGTAACCAATACAGAGGCAAAATAAGGGAAATTGATGAAGAGGCAAAGCAAACTATCAAATGGAAACTATATTACTGTAAGTCCTAATATAAACAAAACATACAAAAGTAGATAGAGCTAGACTAACCTTCTTCATAGACCAAACCCTCCTCCACTCCTTTCTCTGCTGTAGATTCAGGCACATCTGACCAAGCAAGATGTGACTGTCGACTAGCAGGTTCTGGAATATGATCCCAATCTGAAGTAGTCTGGGGAATCTTATTATAAAATGGTTGAGGTTGAACAGATGAAACCGACTGCTCCTTTGGAACACCCAACTAGACCATGTTAACACCAAATAAGGTCAATTAACGAATCATAAATTCTTGAATTTCAAAAAATTAAACACCATTGATCTGCAGTCCGAATACTAAATAGAAAAAATTATAGTTCAAAGGAGAGGCCGGACCGGATCATTCTCGACTCTCATTTGGTAATCAACTGCATGTTTACTATTTACATGCAAGGACATGAGGTAATGTAAGACGATGTTGTATGCCACACAATCGAGTAGAATTCAAAGGATATTTGGTTAAATTATGGATAAATAAAATACAGACTCGTATAGATAAAATGCTAGTTCAACATGTCAAAAATAGGCAATGAGTGAGACACCCTCAATAAGCAAGTCATAAACATACAGGCTCACATAAAAATGTAGTGCTTGCATAATAAGAAACAGGGGAGTACTTACAATAGAGGCATATGTTCTTCTTGGAGCCTCCCCAACAGGTTCCTCCGAAGGCATAGCTGGGGTCTCTTGCACAGTGATCACTGCCGCAATGTGATGGTTACTGGGAGTTTCCTCTGCAAGAGCTTCCTCCACCACAACTTCAGCTTCAAAATCTTCTTCTTGTGGTTGCTCAGGGGGACTGTATTTGTCCACTGGATCGTCATCTATATGAACAGAGTTGACATATTCCCTAGCCTCTTCCTCCAAAATGTAGTCAGAAACTGTTAAATCCAACATGTTAGGCCAGATAAAAAGTAAAACAAAATCTCTACCATAAGAATAGTACATAACAAAAACCAGTGAAAAGAAGAATTATTTACCAAAGATTAACTTGTTACTTTTAAGTACAGATTTAAATGTGGAAATTTACTAACTAGAAAAGAGAAACTACAATAAGGTTTTGGCTTCAATGCCTCGGGTAGTAAGACTATAAGCTGGCAACTTAACTTTAAGGTCATAAGAAGAAACAAAGATCTAATCACCCTTCAATCTTCGTGAAAGATACAGATACTGTCATTTAATAAAAAGATAATTAATTGATTCTACCATCAGTGTTAGAAACATCAAGCTAGTTAGAACATATACACCCACAATTTTGAATGTTGATATCAAGTCCAAAACATACTATAGCTTGAAATATAATTTCAGATTAAAATGAGATAAAAGCTTGCACATAGTACATGCTGGCTCTGCAACAGCGCTTGACAGATTTAGTTGAGCATCTAGTTTGTTTTGTTGTAATGTGGAAGCTGGAAGTTGTGAAGTCATTTCATCATCAATAAACTGTAAGATATCATTGAGAACAAAGTAACCCTTCTCTTGCGGGGCGAGGAAGAAGGTTTGCACAAATTTTCTTCTACCATTAAAATCCTTGATTTTAACATAACCGGAAACCATCACCAGAACACCTCCATTCCAAGAATCAAGAGAATTAATTGTCTTGATCTCAATGGCAGTAAAAGTTAGTGACATGACCAAGGTGTGAATTTCCTGCAGAGAGAAATGAAAGAGAGAAAAATAAATTACAAAATAACCCATTATGATGTAAAATATAAGGAAGTTTATTCCTGATAAAGGAAGCTTGAGTAATCTTTGATAATTATTGTAGAGACCAATATTCACAACTCAAATTGGCACAAGAAATTGCAAATTGCAACAGCAGTTAACAGCAAAGTTTGGATTGTAACATACAAATGATCAAGAGATCCATTTTTCTTACAAAGAAAAGTGGCAGCTAAAAAAATGGTATTCAAAAGAACAAAATTTCAATCAATCTGTCCCAAACTTGGCTTATCCTAGGCCAAATCAAATATATTTGTGTGCTTTAAAAATATATGGGCTAAAAATATGCTGTAACTGTTACATGGAGATTTACTTGAAAACGCATACAAATAAAAGCATTTAAAGAAATGGATATAATTAAGAACAAGACCATAGTGGTGATGCTAAGGCAAACTTACTAGAAGTAAATTATGAAGAAAATAAAAGTTACCAGCATGGAAGAAGCAGATTCTGAGGAATCTCCGTCAACCCGAACCACGGTGCTGTCATCTGAGTAAAACTGGTGAACTAGATCAGGTTGCTGTTGAAGTAGCTGATAGTACCGTCCAACGAAGTATGAACCAACCTGAAATTATAAAACAAAAAACACACTTATTTATAAAAAGGAAAAAAAAACATACATAGACAAATATAAAGATTAAAAAGAAAAATCACCTGAAGGGGTCCAGGGTGGGAAGAGACGGCCATTGTGACGAGTTAGTCGGTTAGAAGCCGCTAAACAAAAGCATGCAACGAAAGAGGAACTAGATCACCCCAAAGAAAGGAAAAACGAATTGCAGTAGCTGAAACCCTAGTTTATTTACTAATTTATTTGGAAAGACATGGAGTCAATGCCGATTTGTTTTTGTTTATTTGGGTATCAACAGACAGACAAAAGCAGCAGCTGGATGAAGGTTTAATTAAATGTACACCAACTCATTCTTTTAACTTTTACCAAATATTATCACATAATTATTTATGTGATTTTATTATAATCATTTATAGTTAAAAATAATTAGTATAATTATATGAATTTCTCAATCGTCGTTAATCAATAATAACTACATTAGTCATACTATTTATTTTTAACGATAACTGATTATATTTAAATTATTTATGTAATTATATATTTTTTTAAAAACATATGTGATTATATTATCAAAATTAAACGTGTAATAATTATATTAATATTAATCTTATAATTAAGTGGTCATTTAAAGATAAACTAAACTTTTTATTTAATTGTATTCTAGAAACTGAGAGAGAGTATGTGTTAATAAAATTCTTATTTTTTTTGTTTATTTATCTATTTAATTATTTATTCTCGAAGAATATTAACGCATTATATGGACATTGCAACCGTCCATTTTAACAGAGCCCTTATATCCTTCCTCACTGACGTCGATTTAGTATCTAAAAGTGGGTATTTTAGTGCACGACTTTTTTTTATAGGTAACTTACGAGAATAATCACTTACATTTTATTTTTGTACACTTTTATTTATAAAAAAATTAATATTTGATCACTTATGTTATTGTTTTATTAAATTTTGATCATAGAAACGTTGAATGTCGTTAGTTTGATGATTTATCAGTTAACAAAAGTGTTTAATTTTTATTTTAACTCTTTATCTTTAGGTAAAATATTAATTATGAGTCTTTTGTAAATTCAAAGTAGTTTAGGACATGGAGCAAAGTGTATGGGTCTCACCTGAATTAAGGAATACTTATTTGATATTTATCTAACAATCTTAAGACAAATTTATTCTTATTTCTTCTGAGATGATATGAATTCTTTTCAGTTTAATAATTGTTGTGTACAAGCGAAGCACCAAAAGTTTGGTAAACAAATGGTTGACGATAATTAGGAGGAATTTACGCTAAGGATAAGTTTCCTACCAATTCTGAATTTTGAATTCTATAGTTCTTTATGCAATGATTTTGAGTTTATTTTTAATGCAGGACATGGTTTCACTAATTTCTATGTAGGGATACAATCAATTGGATTACAAAATCTTTTGCAAGTTTATGAAATGTGTAGATCAAAGTAGTGGGTAGCACACATTGAATTTTGATGGTTCAAGTTTTGGTTGAAAACGATGAAGTCAATTAAGAAGGTGAAAACTTAATATTTCTCTTTAATCCGAGATGATTCGAAACTTTGTCTTCTACCTTTATTTAATATGAAACAGTTCAGATATCATGGTAAAAATAAGATAGCAAATAAATTTGTTTTGGATTTATCCTACCGTTTTAACGAGTTTGCTTAAATCTTAAAGTGAACAAATTTGTTTAACAAAATAAAAAAATAAACGAGAATCAAATTTTTATTTAGTGAAATTTCTAGTTCTGTGTTTAAAATAAACGGGGTTTTAATAAAATTTATTTGATTACTAGTTATTAGAAATTGTTTGAAAGTAACAATTATGTTATTGGTTTGTTTCAAAATTTTAGTTTCTAACTAAATTTTGTTGGTAGAATAAACCAAAATTTATTTTCAGTTTATTGTTGGAATTATTATTAATTCTAAATGAAAATAGGTTATCCCATCGGTTCACCAAACTCACAATCTGTTGGAGTATTGGTTCTACTAATGCTTTGAATTAAATTCAACGGTGTTAATGACCATGAGCCACAACGAGAAACTTGTGGATAGAATTTCAAGATGTGATAACATAATATGTTTTGTTAAGTTCGATCGATCAATCGAAAATCGTCAATAGGGGATGAATTAGCCTTTAAAAATCTTTGGTGTGGAAGCAATAAAATATAATAAGTAGACACAAGATTTATAGTGGTTTGACTTTCTCAACCAAAGTCTACATCCACTACCTTAGCTCATGTTGTGTGTGTGAGTACTATAAAATTATACGCAATTAATGTGCAAGTATAAACAATTGAAAAAGTAATATAATGATGAGTGAGTATCATCCTCGGGGATTGGTGGAGTTTATGAGTTTGGACACAGGAATACACTAAATTATCTAAGTATAGTAATGATATATACACTGATAATGCCTAGGTAAAGGAATAATGACTGTAGGGTGGAATGATGGTGAAGAAATATGAATGAGTGAACAAATATGATGTCGTGGCAATTGAGATGTTTATAGTCTAAATAGGTGAAAGTGTCAAGGCAATGCAGAATGGTAAAAAACACAAAATAAATGAAATAACTTGATAATCCTCACACGGGAAGCTTCTACAGGAATGAATGGTGGAGAGTCACTTAGGAAGTTTTAAACTTATCTCTTAAGTTGATCTAGTCTTCTAGTACCTTACTTGTTCGATAGAGTTTGCTAAAGATGTTCTATGCTATCTCTAGACTAAGAACCTAACATAATTGGATGTCACGAAATCTCCTCTCGGCCTGAGCAGTGATACACTAAACCATTGAATACACTTTACCCCTCTTAGTTATTGAAATCCTAGATTAGTTTCTCTCGAATACTAAGGGATTAGGTTCTAGTAATTAACTACAACCCATTGCTTATTCTAATCTTACTTTAGTTTTCTCGAATACTAAAGAATTAGTGACTACGTTTCTCTCGATTATCTAGTCTTCTACTTAAGAAATGAACACTCTTATGCCTCCTACAATCTTAAGAAATTAAGAACTCATAAGCAAAACAAGTAATAAGAAAAAGAAAACATTAATCAACCATTTAAAACAAAGTTTAAAGCATCTATCAATGAACTCCACCAAATATAGTCTAGTTCATGGTGTGGTTTGAAAAAACCATAGAAAATCCCAATTTGTTCATTCGTTCCTTACAACCCAATCAAAGATCACTCATAAAATGGAGCAAAGGTTGGAGAAAAAAGCACTAGATATGCATGACCGACTCTTTCTTCGGACCACCACGAACGACCACAGCACCTCGCCCCTCTCGGATGCAAGCTCCACTCCCTCGGGCTTCACTGATGGAGGAACACCACTAAAAACATATGAGAAAAAGGAAATTGAGCTCCTCAATGGAGGAAGAGAGAGATGGAGAAGATGATGAATTATATATCTCAAAAATGGTGTCATTTTCTTTATAAATCTAAGGAATCTTCTTAGGGAATTTTTCCTAAAATTCTCATCTTACCCCCAAGTACACTCCAAATGCATGAAGATTTATTCCATAGGTGGTAATAGGTCCCATTCAGGTGGTTACTAGCACAAAACACATGCTAATAACAGTTGTCATTTGTAAAAATATCTTTTTCCCTTTTCTGCGATAGAAATACCAAGACATTGTAGTCTGCTTCAGCAACTTGTAATGTTCGTCATTCTTCTAGCTCGCCTTATGATGCTTGTTTCATGCACATAACCAAATAGCCACACCTTTCCCATCATATAACACCTTCACAAAGTAAAATGCAATGGTAAAACAAAACCACCAAAATATAACTATATGAAACTACATGCACCTAAAATGACCTATATGAGCCTTTAGACAATCAATAACTTAAGTGAAAAAGTCCTTAAAAGTAGCATTTTTACGAAATTTTGACACCCCCAAACTTAAGCTATTTGTCACGCCCTTGGAACTTCAACGCCTATAATGTGCGACCTTAGTCGCTTTCTCTGTGATTGTGGCTAAGTCAGCCTAAAAATAATTCAAGAAAAGATGCTTAGATTCCCAACGGAAGAAAAGAACAAGAGAACTATCAAGCACAAAAGCAAGACAATAGTAACATTGAGAGAATGCTCTGTGATTTCTCAAAATGAAGAAGTGAGTACAAATGAGGAGGATAGGCCTCTATTTATAGTGGAAGTTCCCCTCAATAAACGATTAAAATCTAAGTGTATCAATGGCCTAGATCGAATATAATCTCCTAAATCCCCCAAATCAAGGAATTTTATCTACAAGATTTTCTCTTAACTAAGGAAACTCTATCAAGCTAGTTATATGTTGCCTTAGATAAAAGATTACAAAGTTTATGGAAATAATCATGATGATTTTGCATTAAACCAAGGATTCTTCAGCAATAAACGTGCAAGGCTCTTCATCTTCATGGAATGGGCCAATCTTCACAGGTTTAGGAAGGCCCAAAATGCTACTTAAGTAATCTTGGGCTACTTCTCTTGTGCTGACCTCGGTTGTGGGCTTGTGATCCATGACATATTGCTTGTTCTCAAGCAATGGATAGCAGTTAACACAATCAAAACGTCATGTCAATTTTCAAAAATGAGACAATGAGATAAAATTGTATTTCAATCCTCAGAAAAATGGCTTCAACATGCTAGACATATCAAGAAATCTAGTACTTTTCCATATGGTAAGATTCTTTGTGGTTGTGTATGTGCGTGATTGTATCTAATCTATGCTTAATGAATCTAGACAATTTCTAATTAAGTTCCCTAGTTTTGTCACTGTATTTGTTTATTCATTAAGCACAGTCTTACTCCCCTTTACTTAACACTTTAATTAAACTTTTTTAAATATAATTGTTGATATGAGGAGAGTCAGCTTGTCTCAACTGACATCCCACACTCTAGATGAATGGGAGTATACCTTCCATCCCCAAGCTAGTTAGGTAGAGTCACCCCGTGACTACTTTCATTCACTCATATGCCTATGATTGCCATTTATTAAAACGCAATATTCAGGCAATGTCATAGCAAAGAGGAGTGTCCCTCTACAGCTATGCCGAAGCATTTATTCATGGTTAAACAAAATTCAACATAATGGAGTCCTTTAAAAAATCATTTATCGTTTAAGAACAACATCAATTTTTATGTCAAGGCAAACCATAGTTCTTTCATAAAAACTTCATAAATTCCTTAAACATAGAAGACATACAAATCGTGTAAGAATAATCCACAAAGCACCAAGTCATAGAGTTGGTTCTATCATTCTCAATACTCATGTACATTAAACTTCTAGCCTAAATAATTCATCATCGGGCATCATCAAATCATTTCATCAAAC